AGTATCATTTTCGAGAGTCCACTCGCAATACATGTCAATGGGTTTTTAGAGTACACCGGTGAACACATCGTTCACAACACCTACATGTTGCGAGCCTGCCAGTGTTCCACTGGACTGTCTAGAATAGTCCGTGATTGTCATCCATACTCTGCTAGATGACGGGGCCATCATTTGGGAAAGGCTTCTCACATCGTCCACCTCTCACACTCACCTCGTGGTCTATAACACCGCTCAACTCATCATCCAACTCATATTCCATCTACCCATGTTTTACCCAACATATTCTCGTTATATATATATATATATATATAGATATATATATATATATATATATATATATATATATATATATACAGTTTAAATCATTTAAAACATGTATAAAATCGTTCATCCAGCATAGATAGCAAGTGTACAGATAATATGCACACATAGCACGTAATTTATTTAAAATACTTCATATCTATGTGTAAGATGAAAGTAACTATGCACTCACTTGAAAAGGTGGTGAATCCGAACTCAGACAGCGCTTCGCTTCTTAAAAATAATTTCCTTCGACGAAACCTAGTATTATTACCACTAGAGTTTAGTCTATTATTCGCCGTGACTAATTAATAGTCTAGCTATTATTACCATTATATAAGCGTTAAACAATACTTATATAACCCATAATAATAGCCCAAGTACTTATTATAAGTTCCTAATAACGCTACTATAATTAAATAAACGATATATTAAAAATAGCGTAGGCGTAGCTCACTTACAGCGGGTTTTATAGAAAACCGGGCTTTGCTTGGAGCAGCGTTCCCAAGCCGAAAAGCTCTTCTTCTCGGAGCCGTCGAGCACTCCGGGGCTTCCGCCTCGTGCTAGGGAGGTTCCCTAGGCTTTTCGGGGGGTTTCGGGGCTAGAGAGAGGTTCTAGAGAGAGAGTAAAGAGAAGAAAGAATGGGAAAGGTGTGAAGAAAATGAGGATGGGAGAGGTTCTATTTATAGGGTGAAAAATGACTGAACTTGGTGCCACATGTCACCATCTAGTGGCAAGACTTGGGGAGAAAGCAATGGTCAAGATTGTGCCACATCACCCATTTTCGCACAACACACTTCCGACTTCTAAAATCCGTAACTTTCACATACGACCCCCGTTTTTGACGTTCTTTATATCCACGCGTAGGTAAAAATAAGATCTACAACTTTCATTTTGACTCCGTCGGCTAATTCTCGACCGATCTTAAATTTAACAGTACGAGGAGATTATACTATTAAATGTCCGCGTAAAATTCATAACTTCTACATACGGACTCCGTTTTCGTTTGTCTTTTTACCGTTAAGTTCCTATTAATGAGATCTTCAATTCTCCTTTAGGTCGCGTAGGCCAAAAACCGCTCGATCTAAAATTCGAGTTTCGGGTCGTGCACTGCTATGCCAAATCTTAGAAAATTCATAACTTCCTCATACGAAGTCAGATTTGGGCGTACTTTTTTTGTATTTTCTCGGTTTAACGTTTTCTACGAATTTTGTTTAGATCGCTAAGGCTAAAAGTCGCTCTATCATAAATTCACTATTTACGTCTCCCGGTGCCGTGCCGGTTTTGCCGTAAAACTTCGACGGGTCATAACTTCTTCGTTATAACTCGGATTTCGGCGTTCTTTATATGTACGGAAACCTTGAGACGTATTCTACAACTTGGTTAAGATTATTTATTCTAAATAATCTTTTGTCGAAAAGTCGTTTTCGACCCCTATTATCTCTAAATTGACTAGCCCGGATCTACGGGCGTTACATTTTCTGTGAAGGGTATTATGGGGAAACTCACTAAGCTTCATGCTTACCCAGTTGTTAATGTTTTCAGTTATCATCAGTGAACGTGGAAAAAGCGAAGGAGTGATTGCACACATTCATCAACAACAACGAAGATTTCGCATTTACTATAATACTCTGATTTTTAACAATATGCTTTGGGTCAAATGGTTTTTCTTAACTTGTATTCTAAAAATGAGCAGTTTTACCTTGATTAAAAATGAAAATTTTCTGTTATGAAAATGGGACGTTACAAGTTGGTATTAGAGCTTTGGTTTGAGGGATTTGGATGAACACTCATGGAATTCCAAACTCAAACTATGAAGCTGAGAGTTTTGCTAAACTTTTTTTTGAAGAATATTCATTCAAGAAAAGAAAGGAGAAGATGCGATTTTAATCCAACTATAACATGCATGGACCATTCTTAAACATCAATCAATCATTTTTATGAACTAACAACATCAGAAGAGGCAAGATCTATCACTCCAAGCTCCTGGAGTGGCTCAAACTCACAAGGAGAACATAATACACCATAAAAACCCTTAATCTTGCCCTAAACACAAACTAGCATAAGAAGAAGTCAAGATAAGAACTTTTTACCTCCTGAAGCTTCCCAAGAGATTGAAGATTCTGGATCTATAACCCTAAGGCTACACCAAGCTTGATCACCAAGATCCATTTCCTTGAAATAACACTAAGGACCTTCAAAATCACCTCCAAGCACAAGAATGCACCACCAAGGGGATTAGGGTTCGAAATGATGTTCAAAGATAATGGAGACTGAGAAATGAAAGAGCCTTGAGCTCATAAAGATGTTTAAATAGTGCCCACACCCTAAAAATTAGGGTTTGGCACTCTGCTCATTACGCCGGGCGTACTCACCCAGGAACGTGCCCTCCTTACCATGCACGCATGGGACTTAACTTGCCAACCTTTTCCATTAAGGGCCATTATTGCCAATAATCCAAATTGCCATAACTTCCTCATCTTAGGTTCGTTTCCAACGAACCTTATATCCACAGAAATTTGGCGAGAAGCCCTACGCTTCTAACGACACACCATAGCCTTAAAACTTCCTGAACAAAACCCAAAATCCATAAAAGTCCGAGTCATCAAATTACAATTATACCATTGACCTCTGAAGACACCATTGAACACTTGGATCACTTAAACCATAACACCCACATCCGAAAAGGGCCAAATTCTTTCTTCCCCAAGGTCCTAAGCCTCATGACAACTGATGATTGGGCCACAACCCCGAATAAGGAAGCAAAATCCGGAACCGAGTGTTACACCTGTGTTGTTAGATTGTTTGTTTGTCTGTTTGTTATATATGTCGACATATCTTGTGGTGGGTTGAGGGCGATCCTGCTTTGTGCGGTAGACCAAGATACATGGGCAGACCAGCGTTGCGCTGAAGGCCTGGTGCGGACCAACTTTATGCTGCATGCGAGTGGGGCGAACCAGTCATGGGCTGAAGGCGAATGTTTGTATGCTTGTATGTATATTGTGGTGTGTGGTATTTTGGAGGAAATTCACTAAGCTTTTGCTTACAATTCTAGATTAAATGTTTCAGGTACTTTAGATGACCGTGAGAAGACGAAGACATGCCTGTACACACATCTACAACTTTTGTAATTTGCGATTCTTCGATATGATTATACTCTAATTTTGGAATGTAAACTTTTGAAACAAACGATTTTTATGATGTTGCTTAACAAACGACTTCTTTTATATGAGTTAAAAAATGAAAATTTTTTCGTGAAAATTGGACCGTTACAATGTGTATGTGTGTGTGTGTATATATATATATATATATATATATATATATATATATATATATATATATAGATAACCCCCCCCCCACCCCACCCCACCCCACACACACACTGAAAAATAACGATTTATTATAACTTTATTATTATTATTTTTTTACATTTAATGTAAGATATATCTTTGTCATGTCATACCCTCTGTCATACATAAAAAATAATTAAGATTATAAAAAATAATATCGTCAAATAGATAATATAATAAAATTATATTAAGATAAAAATTTCTATAAATCATATATACATAGAAAATATAATAATCCTAGAGTCACATAATATTTGATGTTTTGATCCGGATTATTTGGACAACCATAAAGAATATAACATGATTATTTTGGTATTTTGTGAAAAAAATTGTGTTATATTTCAAAAAAAATTCTCAACGATCGATGATTATATCCATAATTAATTAATTGATATATACACGAATTGATTAAATAAATTAACAAAATATATATCATCAAAATACACGATTATAAATTTTCTTATCGAAAAGATGTGTCTGAACTCTGAATTTACGTGTGGCATGAATATTCAACCGGTAACTCCAACCCACAGATGTCAAGGATCCCGCTAAAGCCATTGTTCGCCTGTTAAACGCACTAACTGTGCGTGCTCCCACCACCGGTAAACGCTCCGAACGGCCGCCTGAGTCCACATACCCCCACCTTCACTTCCAGGATCCTTCCTGATTCATGGATCCCTATTCTGCGGTACATTAATATTCACATCCCTCTTCAATCAGCTTCTAATCTTCAACTGACAACCCTTTCTCCTCCACTTCTCTCTGCACCACGCCTCCTAAGGCCACCAGTCGGAGGTACACCACGAACACTTCCTTTGCTTCCTTATTTTATGTTTTCACTTTATGATTATGTTTGACTTTTATCCTTTAATCCTTGAATCCAATTCCTCTATCCGAGTTCATTTTTTGTTTGATTTTGCTGATTTCTTCTTTGCAAAATTAGGGTTTTATGTGTGTATGCCGTTTTTTTGCTCTTTTTGATTGAATTAAATACTTTTAGTGCCTTTTGATATGTAGTATGCGTTTTATTTACACTCTTGATATGTGTAAGGCAGAGATCTGTTTGATTTTTGTGCTTCTTTATTCTTAAGTTATTCATTAATTTTTTTTTTTGAGTCTGTAAACTTTTGTTCGTTGTAACCTTTTCGTTTCTCGATTTGATAATGAGTGGGATACTGTTCTTAACATCGGAGCTTTATGCAACATAACAAGATTTTCATCCTCTCTTCTTGTTGTTTGTAGGTTTTAGTGGAAAACTTGTCCGAAATTAATCATCTTTTTGTAGCTTGTACGAAGAGTTGGGATAATTTTGGTGCCTTTCATATCAGTTCTGATTAGTTGTATATGGTCATGGAGCCACGACAAAATGGATTCTCTAATCACATCAATGGTTTCAGTTTGTATGATGATGATATCTTACCCATCTTTGATCAAAGTTCAGCCCTCACAAATGGATACAAATATAAAGACGAACCTTTAGATCTCAGCTTCTTGGAGATTCCTTACACTCCACCAGATCCTAACACTGGTTCTTCAAGTGTATCCCCAGACATCCCTTCACAAGAGGAATCTCCAGATGAATTCAACGAATGTGTTTTCAACTTCATAGACCAGATTCTTGTTGAAGAAGATGAAGAGGGGATACAAAGCTTGTTTTGTGACCCTTTAGAACTACAAGCCACCGAAAGATCTTTATATGAAGCCTTAGGTGAACAATACCCCTCTCCTTCTCCACAACTTACATTACCCCCAAATCTTGAAACCTCAGAAGAGAATGAGAATACAAACAGCAGCACGAGTTACAGCAACTCAACTCAACCCGATTGGCCCGGTGGTTATACTTTTGACTCAGTATCACCCGTTACACAAACTCAAACCCTTGATTACCACCCGTTCATGTCATTCAATGATGTCAATGTCAATGGCAATATGAATGAAATGCTAAATACACACATGGCACAAAATATATTCACAGATACCGAATCCATCAAGCAGTTCAATAAAGGTATGGAAGAAGCTAGTAAATTCCTACCTTCTACAAAGCCTCTAGTTATCGATTTGGATCAATACGACTTGCCTCAAGATTCACCTCAAGATTCAACAAATCCACCTCCAGAAGTTGTAGTCAAGATTGAGAAAGATAAGACATCATCCAATGGGGTAGTTATTAGAGGAAGGAAGCATCATCAGTTAGATGACAATGGTTATGAAGAAGAAAGAAGCAGCAAACAATCTGCTGTTTATGTTGAAGAAAATGAATTATCCGAAATGTTTGATCGTGTACTTCTCGGAGCTGATACAAACTGCAACTCCACACCATGTTCTGAAAAAGAAAAACCACAACAAAATGGTAATAATAACACCCGAAACACCAAAAAAACCCCCACAAAAACCGTTGACCTTTCTACCCTTCTAGTCAACTGTGCCCAAGCAGTCGCCGCCGGCGACCGCCGCACCGCCACCGAACAACTCCACCACATAAAACAACACGCGTCAACTTCCGGCGATGCTTCCCAGAGACTAGCTCACGTATTCGCCACCGGAATCGAAGCCCGCTTAGCTGGCACCGGGTCCCAGCTCTATACCGTCAAAACCGCCATGCGGATCACAGCTACCGAAAAGCTACAAGCATATCAAGTCTACCTTTCAGCTTGCCCTTTCAAAAAAATCGCGTTTACATTCGCCAACAAATCAATATACGATGCAGCTTCAACCGCTTCAATCATTCATATAGTCGACTTCGGAATCGCGTACGGATTCCAATGGCCCATTTTCATCAAACATCTTTCGGAGCGACCCGGCGGGCCTCCGAAGCTCCGGATCACCGGAATTGAATTCCCGCAACCGGGATTCCGCCCGGCCGAGCGGTTAGAGGAAACCGGACGCCGGTTATCGAACTACTGTGACCGGTTCAACGTCCCGTTTGAGTACAATTCCATCGCGAGCCAAAACTGGGAGACGATTAAAATCGAAGAGTTAAAGCTTCAAAGACATGAATTCGTAGCAGTCAACAGCTTGATCCGATTCCATAACTTGTTAGATGAAACGGTTTTAGTGGATAGTCCACGAGACAAGGTTTTGAAATTGATACACGATATGAAACCTGATATATTCGTTCACGCGGTGATTAACGGGTTTTACAGTGCTCCGTTTTTCGTTACCCGTTTTAAGGAGACGCTTTTTCATTACTCTGCTTTGTTTGATATGTTTGATGCGACTATTGAAAGGGGGAATTACGAGAGGTTGAATTTTGAGAAGGAGTTTTATGGGCGTGAAGCGATGAATGTGATTGCGTGTGAAGGTGGTGAACGGGTGGAAAGGCCGGAATCGTATAAACAGTGGCAGGTGAGGATTTCGCGGGCCGGGTTTAAGATGAAATCGTTGGATCGGGAGATTGTTTCAAAGTTGAGATGTAAGCGGGCCGGGTATCATAAGGATTTTGTGTTTGATGAAGATGGGAAATGGATATTGCAAGGATGGAAAGGGAGGGTGTTGTATGCTAGTTCTTGTTGGGTACCTGCTTAAAGGTATGTTGTTTCTTTCTGACTTAATGGGCTTAATGAGTTAAGCACTTAATCTGAATAATGTTATGTTGTTTATGGTGGCAGATGCAAACATTTGGAGGAGGCTTTTGGATTAAGAGGGTGATGAAATTTGATGAGAAAAGTTAATGAGATGTGTTTTAAGTCATGTACCATATGTTGCTATGTTTTTTGTATGGTTAACATCTGATAGACGTCAGCCTAGACTCATCGATTTACTAATGTAACATATATATAAATATGTTTTTGGTAGAAGGCTAAAGGAATATCAATATATACTGTTGTGGTGTTTTCTCGAATAGGAATTTCAATTTTGCCTTCGCAATAGTATTGCGTAGGCCTGATAAATATAATTAAAAAAATAGGTGGAATTATGTATTAATTTAGGGGTAGATTATATATTTGTATTGTCGGTTTAAAAAAAAATATCAAGTAAGTCTTAGTTTTATAAATATTACATACATTTAAAAACAACAAATTAAATGAGAACCTATATAAAGTATTTCATTAAAATAAGAAGAAATTAATTGATTTCATAAGAAACTTTTAGAAATGGTAAGTAATTGGAAATGATTTAATAATAATATTTTATTTGATAATGTTAGTGGAAATTTGATGTCTTATTGGTAAGTTTATGGAGTTTTTTATATAAATTTTCAAATATACCTTAGTTAATTTTTAATTATATATTTAAATGTTTTTTCATATTGTTTATACTTATCATTTATTTTATCGGGTAGTTTTTATCAACCTTTGTTGGCTGTGGATATTTTGAATAGGGTGGAGATTTGTGGACGAGTTTCAACCTCAAAAAAATAGGGTTCAAAATCATATTTATAAAGGTGTGTCTAATTGAAGTCTTGGAAAGGTCTCTATAGTCTATTGAAGTCATGAATATTGTTGAGATTTGTGGATAAGGGTCAACCGGTCAAAGCTGTTTAAAAGTTACTATATGTGGTCCATGACTCCATGGTGATGGTAGTTTTTGGTAACACGGATTCCAATTTAACGTTTATGCCTTTATGGCAATTGGCAACATTTTGGTCCGCTGGCTGGCCATTATATTTTGAGTATCTTCTAAATTCATTATTGTGTTGATATTATTTTTAATTCGACCATTTTACTCTATATAACATAGTATAACTGTTGTTTTTTTATATGTTTGGTTACAAATTATTTATAATGTAGTAACTAACCCAAAAGTCGCAAACCAAAAAAAAAAAAAATCAAAATATAATGGTTTTAATGAAAATTCACATGGTGGTTCACTAGACGCTCATCTGAATCAAAGTCTTTTTACGTAACGAATTTTTCAGATTATATCATTCATTATGATTTATGGCGTATGTATTCTCGGTTTGGAAAAGTTTGTGATGTTTTTATTTCCAAAAAGAAATCACATATGGGGAAACGTTTCGGGTTTGTTCGATTTTTGGGTAATGTTAATGTTGATCATATGATCAAGAACCTGTGTGACGTGTGGTGACGTGTGGTTTGGATATCATAAGATGTTTGTTGCAGTTCCTCGAATTCCTAAAAAAGATATCCTTCATCATAAGGTACCCCTTAAGGTTGAGAAACATGATAATTTACCTGTTTCATATGCAAATGTGGTAAGAGGTAAACACTGTGAGAATCCAAGTTCAGAACAAGTAGAATTGATCATTGTTCTTGATTCCGGGAATTTTCTTATTGACAACAAAAGGTTAGCGTGTTTGGCTAAGGCTAGAGATTTTAGTACTTTACCTAACTTGGGTATGTTGTGTCATGATGAAGGTTTTGAGAACTTCTGTATTCGTTACGTGGGTGGTCTTTGGGTTATGTTTGAATTTAAGTCCAAACATGCATGTAAAAATTTCTTGGAGTGTGATGTAGTTAATCATTGGATTTCTGAAAAAAGAAAATGGGACAGAAACTTTGTGCCCTCTGATCGTATTGTGAAAAACACAGTGTAACCTTGTCACGTTAAATCACCCTTAGCCTTGAGGGCATGTTTATATAGGTTAATATAAATTGAAATCCATGTTTATATGAGTTATATATACATGTTTACATATTGAAAACCATAAGGAAATAAGTAAATACAAACTAACAAGACTTAAGGAGTCAAAGGGGTCAACAAGAGATAAAGGAATCACATTGTTAAAGTATCTTCAATCTGAGGTCCACTACCTTTGAGTTTTCGGCCATCTAGGACCGAAATCTCTTCATGGAGATCACTTCAAACCGAAAACACACTCTTGGAACATGTATAGGACCGAAATCACAAAGGCTAAAGCCCACTAAGGCCGAAATCCCCACCACTTTGGACCGAAATCCCTTCTTTGAGGTCCATTAGGACCGAAATCACTTTCTAGTAAATGGGAATGTGAGATTTCGGTCATGCTTGGCTGAAAACTCCTCCATTTGGCCGAAATCATCCATAAAGTGGCTAAGTGGTGCCACTTGATTGGTCAAATTTAGCTTCCCAAGGTGATAAGTACTCTTACCTAGGTAAATATCACTTCACTGTCAATTCACCCTACCCTCTTATTTCCCATATAAATTCATGTCCAAAGCTTCCTTCAAACACTTCTCAGTTAAACACCATTCACTTCCAATTCTCTCTCAAGTATCAAACATTCATTTCCTCTCTAAACCCAAGAATCAAACTTCCTTGGAGCTTCATTTTTGAGACTCATTCCTTTGCATTTTGGTAAGTCCTCTTAATATCATAGTGTTATACATTCTTCTTATGATTAGTTCATTTTATTTACACATTTTTATGTGTTAAAACGATTAGGAGTTCAATCATTTCCGAGAATTCTAACGTAAAAATCATCATCATCACCTCGTTATCAAACCGCAAACACACATAAGGTAAGTTCATACCCCTACATTTTCAAGACTTTTTCTATGTTTTTAGGGGGGGGGGGAATACAAGTAACACACAATAATATTTTTGTTATAACGCGAACATTTTAGACACGTTACTATACTATTTTACGAAAAACGTTAAATACACGAAATAGTTTTCCTATAAATCGCGTGTGATTTCACGAACAACATTTTGATAATCATTACATTATTCTTACAAATATATATAATTATATATATTTCAAATACAAAACGTTTATTTCATCGAAGTTTTACAAATATAGTTTACGGAACTTTACCCCCTTTGTAACCCGTTGAGCAAAGGGTAAAAATGATATAAAGTACATATATCGTTGTTTTACGACATTTTCGACGTTATCGTGGAATATGGGATAATGTCATTTACAAACGTTGTCATTTCAAAAACACGTACACTCGTTGAATGAATTTGTGAGACACTATCTTCATCGTACCTAACTGAGGTATACAGAAAGTCCTGTATTTATAACCGGAATCTCCGATACGAGAGCGTGATACTTATGTATAGATCTATACGAGACTGATGATCCCACACCCTGACTATTAGCTACAGTCAGACCGGTAGATTATGGGTGACAAATGTCATAAATAACTTGGCGCCCGAAGAACGATGAGGCAGACACTGCATCTTAAAAGCACGGTTATGAAAACTCACATGGGGAAATGACTATACGTACATGTTACACGAACACTTTTCTTCAAATGGTTTTTATGGATGACTAAAACTACATATTACTACTTTTAAGTATGGAAAACACTGGTACATTCGGTCTTGGAACATTTAAGACTACAACTCATTTCTACGGAAAATATTGGATTTTCTGGAATAAACATCATCATTTTACAAGTAAACGGCTTACATCTCATTTATTAGAAAATATCGGATTTTCTGGAAACAACACGATATCTTTTCACGGAAAGGCTTACTATGGTTTATAACAAACTCTTATGAACTCACCAACTTAAATGTTGACACTTTTTCAAACAACTTGTATTCTCAGGGAACCAGTAAAACAGGTAACCACCAGCTTTTGAGGATGGGACACTAAGGCGTCAAACAAATCCTTTTGACATCACATTGTACTTGACTTTTGAAACATGTAATACTTACAATGATGTAACCTTTTCAATTATATATGTGATGGTTATGTTTGCTTTCTTTACTATTATGCAACAGTTATGATACAATACATGAAATTCATCCACCCCCGGACGTTTCCGCCATCTTGGTTTGGGGGTGTGACATCTACAAAGGCTCCGGGACCTGATGGTTTTTAGTTTTAGGTTTTTCAAGCGTTATTGGGATCTTATTGCAGTAGATGTTGAGGCGTTTGTTAATCATTTTTTTCTTCACCCTTCTATTCCAAAGGGGTGTAATGCTTCTTTTTCACTATTATTCCAAAAATTAAAGACCCTAAAACTGCAAAAGATTATAGACCCATTAGTCTTATTGGATTCCAATATAAAATTATTGGTAAACTCTTAGCTAATCGTCTGGGGGAGGTTATTCATAGTGTTTTCAGCCTTGAGCAATCCGCCTTTATTAAAGGCAGATAGATTCTGGACGGTCCCTTTCTCTTGAATGAAGTGGTTGCTTGGAGTAAGGATTCTAGAAATCCTATGATGCTTTTTAAGGTGGATTTCGAGAAAGCCTATGATTCTTTATCATGGGATTATTTATTGGAAATCATGTCGATTATGGGATTTGGTTCCACGTGGTGTGGGTCAATGGTTCCCCGACAAATGAATTCCAAATGCACCGTGGTTTAAGACAAGGTGATCCGTTGTCCCATTTTCTCTTATCTTGGCTATGGAAGGTTTACAAGTTGCTTTGATGAGGGCCATGATGGAGAATATTTTTAAGGGAATTTCTATTTCAGGAATTGAGATCTTTCACCTTCTTTATGCGGATGATGTTATGTTGGTATCTTCTTGGGATCCTGAAAATGCGAAACGATTTATTCGTATTCTCAGGTGTTTCTACTTGGCGTCGGGTCTGAAAATCAATTTGGAAAAAAGCAAATTGATAGGTGTGGGAGTTCCATAATCCCAAGTTCTTGATGTGGCAGACACTATTGGTTGTGCAGCTTCAAAGCTACCCTTTTTACATCTTGGTATTCCTGTGGGACAGACTATGAATCAGACTTTTGCTTGGGCCTCTGTGATTGATCGGTTTCGGTCTAAGCTTTCAAATTGGAAGACTAAGAGTCTTTCTTTTGGAGGTCGGCTTACGCTGGATTTAGAGGGAATGAGGGCGAGATTCTTTTGGGGAGTAGATGGGGACGAACGTCGTGTGCACTGGGTTAGGTGGGATAGAATCATAGCTTCTAAGGATGAAGGAGGATTAGGGATTGGGAGTCTTTTCTCT